CAAATCTTACTTTATTGAAATCTCTGTAGATGAGTCAGTTTTCACTGACTTCCTGAAAGCCATTAGGGCAGCATGATGTATTACAATAATCTAAGACAGATATTACCAGGGAACAGATTACCATTGTAAGACTATCTCTATCCAAATAGGTCCATTGCTGATGATTCAGCACTAATAGTACTTTCAAGTTGTCTGGATTAATCTTCAGTTTGTTGGCCCTCATCCAGTCCCTCATCATGGCCAGGCTGTGTTTCTTGCAGTTTCACTGCTTCACATGGATTTGATGAAGAAGTGAGATTGAGCTCAATTACTGATGGCACCTTACTCTAAATCCCTGAATGATCTCACTCAGTGGTTTCATGTAGATGTTAAACAGCATAGGGGGAAATGAAACTTTTGGGAACCCAAAAGGCTATAAGGTTAAGCAGAAATCCTTCAGTAGCACCTTTTGGATATAGCCATCTAGGTATGAGTTTAAAGCTGTTCCCCCTCAACCATTTGGGACAACCTCTCAAGAAGAATACCATGGTCAATAGTATCAAAGGCTTTGAAAGACCCAGGAGAATCAACATTTCATTTCCCCCATCTCTTTCGTGGCAAAGACCATTTAAACAGGGGACTAAGGCCTAAACACCAGTTGAAATGAATCTAGAAAATGTGTTTCGTCCAGGAGCGTCTGGATTCAATCAACCACTGCGTGCTTAATCCCAGGAAAGAATGTTGTCCACTGGCCTATAATTATATAGATCTTATGGATCCAATTATGAACTCTTCATGAGTAGTCTCACTATAGCCTTCTTTAAAGAAAGAAGGACCACTCCTCCTTATAAGGAAGAATTCATAATTGCTGGATTATACATTATTTATACATTTATAATGCATAATTTATAATCCATCTGAGCACCTTCTTCCTACTAAATGGAATGATCAACAGAGGCAAGAAGCAAGCATCATGTGGTTGGCTAATCTTGCCTGTGCACCTTCTCTATATCATCAGGCCTTAAAACTCAATCAGAGACATCTGATAAGATAAAACGTTCTGGACATCTCTACAAACTGAACTCTAAAATTCTAGAGTCTAAACATTTAATCAATGTTGCTATCTAAATGTGTAGCCAACATATCATAGTGAGCTACTGAGGGTTCTGTATAATCGGTAACTGGGCCAGATCCCAAAAGGCCACAAATCACTGAAAAAGCTCCACTGGGTGATACTGAGATGACACGAGGAGAAAAATGGCTGTTTTACCATAATCACTACAAAGCAGACTTGATAATGAGCTTTTACTAGTGTTCAGTCAGATGCAAGATGAGTTTTCCTTACTTGCTCTATTGCCTTCAGCTGAGATTTATACGAATTGAATGAATGGGCTTTGCACCATGGGAAAAGATGCTCAGGAGTTATTGTTTCAAGTATTCTCTTATTTCACAAAGCAGCCAAATTGTTGATAGAAATGCCAACCATACCAGCTGGAAAACTTCCTTGAGCCTCTGAAATACATTGGAATTGATAGGTGGACTATTCTGGCTCCATCCCTGCAGAGAACCACTGTAAGCCTAAATCCCAACAGGATGTGGTCTGACCATAACAAGGACAGATTAAAGTTCCCCACTTTCAGTCCACCATCCTTCAATCCAGCAGAAAAAAATAAATCTAGACTGTGACTTGCCACATGTCCAATAACATGGCCAATAACAAGTTAAGAGACACCTACAGAGGTCATGGTGGTTATGAAGTCCTGAGTAGTCTCAACCAAAGCAGACCCAGCATGGATGTTGAAGTCCTTCATAACTATCATTCTAGCAATCTTCAGTACCATGTCCAAGACAACCTTTGCCAGCTCAGGTAGGAAGACTCGATTAGCAAGATGGATGATATTGTTGATGGATAACCAACAAAATCCCCAGTCTTTCTGAATACCCAACACATGATACAAAATCTCAGGATTAGTACTTGAATGGACAGAAAGCCTTGAAAGTGAAAGATAATTCCTATTGTAACTTGGAGTTCTTGACTCTCCTACATGTTCTGGTGTTGTACCATACACTTAGCAACAGTACATGCAGACTAAGGGTAAGGCTACCATAGTGCTTCTGGGTGAGAGAGAGAAACAAGAAGAAAGGATGTTTCCTTTTACCTGCAATTATGCTAAATGGAATCCTCTCGTCCCTCCCATGATATTATTATAGAACTCTTCCAGGCACATATTGCAAAAAGCAGAAAAAGATGAGTATAGCTCTCACCCTCGGTCCAGTCCATAAATGGTTTCCCCCAAGGGGCAATTAATTCCCTTTGGTGTATCTACCTTTGGGGTTTTCCTGCAAGGGCTGGCCTGCCACAAGCAGCTTCATCATCTGTTCTGGGCTGGGTTAAATATCACATCGACTCCTTTGAAGGCCCCCAAGGGCAGATGAAACAACCAAGGAATGGGTAGACCATATTGGTTTTATGGACATTTGGGATCAATAGAACAAGCCTACTGACAAGCTGCTGCATCATGGTGGGCAGGACAGATAAATGTTAAACAGGTCTGGAGTGAAGATGAAGAAGGGGATACTTTAGCCAGCACCACACATCTACTGATTCCTGAAAGGTTTTTTGCTTAGCAAATTGCCTTATTGGCCCCCAGTACTTTAAACCAGGTTCTTCATGCTTTAGAACATCTGTCTTTCTGTATTCTTATTTCTGAATACTTTCTGCAGTCCTTCCAATTTCTGTATGACATAAACCCTTTGTTCTGTTGCTTTTAGCTGAATAGTTCAGTTGTCCATTTATCAGCTGGTTTTTTGGCTCTTGACATGAACTTTGAATAAGTCAGTTGCTCGTCTTATTTTGATTATCTATAAAACAATAAGACATCCCCAGATTTTAGGTGAGGTAAGTTCACTCTTCATTGGAAGAGCTTATATGTACAAACCATCAGTAAGACTTAGAGTAGACGTATCTGTACACAAGAGAAAAAAATTGTAATAAAATCAAATTCAGTGAGGTCTCCATATTCAGAATATCTGTAGTCATGGATTCATGTTTTCATGGTAGTGGTGGCAAAATTTAACATACTAAACATTTGGCTACTGCTTGTTGCATTCACCCTGAGCGAAAGTGTGGCACACACATCTTCAGTCTCACAATGAGCATCCAAGTAGGATGGCTTGTGACTTTTGTGTGTTGTGTGTGTGTGTGTGTGTTAGGCTGCTCTAACTTGACTTTATGCATACATGTAAGTGTTTAGGCATCGATAGAGGCAATTTGGGTGAGAGTATAAATTTTGCAGAATTTTGTATTTTTGTGGGAAGTGTTGACATGTAACCACCATGAATATGGAGACCCAATTGTACATTCTGGTGTCTGTGGTTTAAAAAAAAGAAAGGAATTTTCTATAGCAGTAATAATCTTAAGTAATAGATACTTTCTGCCCTTCGGTGGTACCCTTGCTACCTGAGCTGAAATGCATTCTAATAGATCAGGGCCTTAAAAATAAGTGAGTGATGGCTACCCTCTTGGCTTCTAAGGAAAAAGTGCTCTGTGAATTACAACTCCAATAACTCAAGCTCTGATTTGCCCCCTTCTCCATGATGATAATTATATGTTCTCCCTATCATTGGCACGGAGCTTTCTTTATCTAAAACTGCTTGCTGGTTGCATATTATTTTATTTTACTGTAGCTGATATTTTTATATCATACATTGTACAACTGTAAAACTTTGGCGGGTTGAGTTGCTATTTTCAAAAAGATTCTGTCTTCTAAAATTGTGGGACAGTGTTGTACTACAGGTGCCGCATTTTACTACCAGAGAAATGAAGCCTACTCATTCTTCATGCTGCTGTTGTGTTTTTTAATACAAGAGCTTGTAAATCTCAGGGCAGTGTTTTGCTTTCTGTGTCTCCTGCCCTACTCTACAGTGCTTGCATACGTGTGTCTGGCCATAATGACAACAAGGTTACCGCTTGTGTAAGGGGAAGAACACTCACCTATTTGACGGGGAAATCCATTAATTTAATAATGCAAATCTGTACAGGTTGTTTCAGTAACCTAATAAGACATAAAGCAGTTACAACTCGGTCACATATTTTTGTCTTCTAATAGCCTGAATATTCCTTGCTTCTTCTAGTATGTTAGTGTTAAGAATATGTGATTTTACAATTCTGCATCAGGGAACTGAGTAATTTTTTAAAGGATGAAATCATAGTCCCACAAGAAATACACAACTGACTGCACTGCATACTTCAGTTTAGACCCATTCCTTGACGCAGTTTTAAATATGAATAAAATGCATTCCAGTCCCTTTTAATTACCCTTTCAAAAAGATACGTTTTACTGTAAGTTGTCTGATTCTGTTTTAAGTGAACAAGAAAACCTGGGAGAGGTTGTCTCTTTAAATCAGATCTGCAGTGTTGATGGACCCTCTAGCAGGCATGGTAAGAACCATTCTCACCTCTGCAGCAGGGAGCTTGACCATAAAGATTCTCACATTCAATCAAAACGTTTTCTGTTTTAATATGCACTGTACCAATCCTATTCCCATGGTTACAGCTCCTGCTCCTTTGGTTGCTTCTAGCATGTTGGAAAATTGAGGCAGAGCACATTTTCTCGTACAGGAGTTTAAAATATAATGAAAGCAGCCCTGTTGTGATTTGCATTTTAAATTAACTCTACCCCTCTCTCCCTCCTCCACCCTCCACTGATCCCTCCCCCCAATATCCCACAACCTCCCATCTACAATACATCTTA